AAAAACAAATACACTTTTTCGGTTATGAAAATATGATTTTCTTTTAAATAATTCCAAGAAAACATATCCTCTTGCATGCTTCCTAGATAAATATACTCGAATCTATAAGCGCATAAACAATCGATGAAAAAGTGCAAACTGCATAAGTAGGCCTTTTTGCGCCAAGTATTTCTCCCATGCGAGCAGACAGAAGCTCCTTTAAAAGCTGGCTTTGTGACGTGACTGAACTTTTTTGTATTGACGCTGTAGGAGAATGTACCTTAAAACTTTATTCTTATTTGACCGAAGGCCTTCTTGCAGAGGGTCATTGGAGCGTGGAACAGACTTTCAGACGAAGCGGTCCTTTTAGAAACTGTTGAGACATTAAAACGCAAACTGGGTTCTCCTTTGCTGACAAACTTTGGTACATATAATGAGCATTGTGTCAGTAGTGGCAGTTTTTGACTAGCTCACGCATATCGCTGATGTTAACTCTATATTTGTTGCATGTACTGTTTTTAAAGTTTTTGCGGTTTTTGGATATGTATAGGGAGCTCAAAGGTGAAAGCCTCCTTTCCTTTATAAAGCGACTTAAAGTACTTTTTTTCCACAGCAAACCATATTTTAGTATTTCGGCAATTATTTCATGAGGCACGCTACTATTTCCCTTTAATTAAAACAAAAAATCGACCCACTGGTAACTGAAGCGCTGACTTTAATATCCTTTGACAATTTTTCTGGATGGATAATAAAAGGATTCGGGGTTGTGTCCGCGTGCCATAGTTGACGACGAAGACAATTAATATTGCGGCGCAAGATACCTTTGAGCATTTCCTGCTAACTTTTCCCATTTAAAGACTTGTTCTTGTTTCTTCAAAAAGGGCAATTCCTACTCACCTAACCAAATTAATCTCAATTGTGTTAATTTTAACTGCTATTAGCTTTTTAATCTGAGCCGCCACTTTTTCCTTCCGCCATTCTCATTTAACTTTTCTTACACATACGTCGGTTGGCCTACTCCGCCCATTATAAACCGATTTTTATCTCTCTTTGTTTATTTGAACTGCACTGAGGTCATGAGCGCACAAGGTCTCGACGCTAGCGCCGTTTTGGAAGCAGTCCAGTTTGGCCTATATTTGATATGTTTTTTCACGACTATTTTTCCACGATATCAAAAACTGCATTCATTGGCGATCATAGATTACTTTCGATTTCCTGGTGTTGTGATATTTTGCCCCAAATTTTATTCTTTCTGGATGGAGGTCGTTTTTGCTGAAAATTCTGAAATGATATATATTTCAAAATAAAGCATCTCTCTCTCTCAAAAACGACTGATTTTTATTAATTTACTTACATGATATTTCTGTCTTTCCCCGCTTCACCGATGCTGACTGAGTCCTCTTCCCCTAATTTTTTTTAGATGTGTAAACTGTCGCATTTGGAGATGCGAAAGCTCTCGGTGGACGCTCTGGTTCTACTCATAAAACAGGCCATCATGCTCCCCCGAAAAATGACCTTTTGGGATGACGAGGTAAGTGTGCGGCCGACACTGTTCGCGCCTCGCAGTGCACCGTTCTGGCGAACTGCCAAAACCTCACTGCTGGCTCTCTCTCTCGCCCTCTTCACTCGTTAGATGATTGTCACCGTTTTTGACCGTGGCCAACTAATTCCAGCAGCAGCGTTAGCCGAAAAAACTGCTGCCGCAATTCATTACAACGAGGAGGAGGAGTGTTTGACCAATTCTGACCATGTCCATGGTCGCGCCACTCCACTTCACCACCACCAGGCCAGCCTG